TACCCACACTCACCCACCCACAGTGACCCACAGCCGCACTCACACCCATCTACAGACTAAAACTACTACCACTACTCCCCCCCTCTCCCCTTCTCCCCCCTTCCTGTCTATCACCAAGTGCGCATGGAGAGATTGTGTGCAGTGCATGGTGCACAACACCTTTTCTTTTCATATACAGCACCTGTGCACACTGCAGATCAGGGCACACCAGCGTGTGTGATCATGATGCACAGCACGGCATATCCCGCCAGTGCACCACAAATATGATTTAAAAAAAAAAAGAGACAACAGAACTGGATTAGAGAAATATCAGATGAGAAGTTTCGATCAGTCTGAGACCAGATTGAATGAGATTAAAGGAAGAGACGGGCGTGTCGCAATGGAGATTGAATAAGATCAGAGGAAGAAACGGGCGTGTCAGCAGCTGGATTAGTCAATAAGATTAGAGGAAACCACCAATTATAGCCCCACAGACTCCATGTAGATTGATGCACCGCTAGCGGTGCTAGGATGTGCTGCACCTTTTTGCACCTGCTCACAGAAAAACGTTTCCAGCAAATGCAAAATTGCTAGTTTGGTCACTCTCCGTCTTGCATGTCCTGCTAAAGAAAGGTGTTCAGTCTTTCAGAGGTTGCAAACAAACGTAGCACACTGGCTGGTGCAGCATTCAAAACACACTCCGACAGTCTCCACGTGGATGCAGCATTCCAAAAAAAACGCTCCCCTGGTCTACACCGCGAGGACTACAATCATAATGAACAAGCTATTTGTGAAAAGCGGGCGAAAAAAAAAGGTCCAGTTTGCAAAGTCCACAATGTTTTCCGTAGAAAACTATTTTCGGTCAAACGCAATGTGACTCGAGGCTCATATGTCACCACAATTTTGAGGAAAACCTATTTTTAGCAAAACGGAAAAGCTTGTGGGAAAAAAAGAAAAAGGTTCATATAGAAATTCTGAGGATAGCCACTGTTGTGGTTATAAGAAGACGTATCTCCGATGGAACTGCGAAGCGCATGCATAGAGGGCCCCCCATATATATAGGGGGTCTACTCTATGCATATAGGGCAGCTTACATGGGGGCCCAGGGGGGGGGCCCTGCAAGAACCCCCGCATATGGGGGGGGCCCTGCATGCATATCTAGAGGGGGTGGCCCGTGCATGCATGGGGTATGCCCATATGAGGGGCCCCGACATGTATGGGCCCCTATGCACAGGGGAACCCCTTTAACCATTCCTCCAATTCCTATATCTCGATATGGGCCGGCCCCTATGTGACGCATATATGGGCCCTCGTGCATAGGGGTCCCTCATGCTTGCATGACCTCCACACATGCATTTTTCTTGGGGGGGGTGCATGCATGGGAGGACCCAATGCCCCCCATATATGGGGGACCCTGTATACGCGGGGGCCCTCATGTAAGGTGCACACATGCATGGCCCTCCCCATGTATGGCAGCCCCCCAGGCGCGTGCATGCACTGGGGGGGGGCCATATATGCCCCCAATTCATATATCTCAATGAGCAATGACAAACCAAAATTCGATACTTGTAAAATGCCATAAGCTTGGTTCTGTTGTGATCCAGATAAAAGTTCAATCCCAAATTGCACAACCAACCTTCCGCTGCCTTCAATCCCCCACCTTCCCCCGACTTCAATTCCCCCACCTTCAATTCCCCGCCTTCAATCCCCCGCCTTCATCCCCCACATTTGCCTTCCTTCCCCTGCATCCCCCACCTTCC